AATGCATGCACTGGATCTGTTCTAACTGAGATTAATAATGGTAACTGGTATTAATAATAATACAAGATTCTTAGTTGTGCTCCAGGTGAAATAAAAAGTAGACAGACAAACATAGAGATCTGATATGAAGAATTGTTCCAATTTCGCCAACATTTTTTTTCTCTGCTAGTGTACCTGGCGAGTCCAGTGTGAAACTGCTCCCCCGTAAGGCCAAAGAGTGGAAATGCATGCATGCATGCCACTGTAAAATGGCAGAGCAGCTTGGATGTTACAGCAATATAAACAGCAACAACAAAAAAGACATTTTAAACCTAATTTAGTTGTTAAAAAATAGTTCCCCCAGAATGAAAGTTTGCTGAAAATGTACTCACCCTCAGTCCATCCAAGATGTAGATGAGTTTGTTTTTTCTTCAAAATAGATTTGGATAAATTTAGCATTACAACACTTGCTCACAATTGGATCATCTGCAGTGAAATGGGTCAGAATGAGAGTTCAAACAGCTGATAGAAACATCACAATAATCCACAAGCAATACACTCGACTCCAGTCCATCAATCAACATACTGTGAAGTGAAACGCTGCTTGTTTGTAATAAACAAATTCATCATGAAGATGTTTTTATCTTCAAAACATTGTTTCTGGCTGAAATACGAGTCCTCTATCCTTAATATTGCTTTCTCCAGTGAAAAAGTCATCTCATCTGAATCGAGAAATATGCACAGATCAAACACTGTCTATAAGCAAAAACAGTCCACATCAGTCCTAAACAATGTCAATGGATTTTAATGTGAGAGGACAAAATGCACCTTCTCAATGGATGAAGTGTTATTATGGATTGGTATTTTGGCCCGAAGTGACATTTTAAATTAAAACACCTTGATGGATTTGTTTCTTACAAACATGCAGCTTTTCACTTCACAAGACATAATTGATGTGCTGGACCCTCATTTTTACGGCACCCATTCACTGCAGAGGATCCATTTGTGAGCAAGTGATGCAATGCTCAATTTCTCTGAATCTGCTCCAAATGAAGAAATAAACTCATCTACATCTTGGATGGCCTGAGGGTCACTTTGCTCACTTTTTCTCATTCTGACCCACTCATATATTTCTCAGTGACAGTGTTTTTTTGAGTGACACTCAGCAAGCTGCTCTAGAGCTCCTCCTGGTGGAAAGCCCTCTTGATTTTGGTGAGTTGGTGACTCATAATTTTAAATACAATGTGGTAGATTGTAACATCCATAATCTAATTTTACACAGTTTAGAAATAAGTATATATGTCATTATTATTATTATTATATTATTATAAAGTTTGAGGCAGATAGCACAAAAAGAAAGGCAATTAATTTTGTATGGATTTGGATGGAATTGATTTCCAGGGACATTTTTACATTGGTAAGGGAAAGTTTTTATCATTACCTTATTAATTGTTGTCTTTAATGTCAAATATTTTAACTAATTTCTTCCGTCAATCAGAACTCTATATAAAAACAGTAAGTCATAGGACTGCAATATTATGACAAAAATATTATTGTCCATTACTGCTTTTGAAATTGTAATGATTATTGATATGAATTAATTATTATTAATGTCGATTAATATATACATTTTTTTTTGTGTTTTTGTCAGAATTTTGGGGAAATGGCATGTCATATTCTGGCTACACACACACACACACACACACACACAAAAAATATGTCGGTCCATGACGTTAGTCTAGCCTAGCCCAAGTTATGCAAAAACGTCTCGGGTTACCCATGTAACCATGGTTCCCCTTCTAGGGAACTCAACGCTGCGCATATTGGGGAATGCACATAGGCACATTGGGGAATGCAGCCTGCATGACCGGTGTCTGAAGCACGTGTGAAACAACGCCAGTTTATTGGCCCACCTGGCCCATGACGTCATAGGCGGGATGCCCGGAAGTATAAAAAGGGCACCTGCTGAATACGTCATCCACTTAGCTGTCTGAAGGAGACGTAGACAGGCAGGCCGAAGGCATGGCAAGGGGCGCAGCGTCTCGTTCCCTCTCGGGGAACAATGGTTACATGCGTAACCCGAGACGTTCCCCTTCTAGGGAACTCAACGCTGCGCCCCCTAGGGGGCACATTGGGGAACGAAATCCAAACACGCCGTGCCGAGGCGCATGCCTGTCCACCTGGTGGGAGAGCACCAAGGAAGCGACAGACAAAAAAGCCTTTCCTCAGAAAGGGACCATGCCACTGACGCCACAGGCCGCTCACGCAACGTGGCAGAAACAGGGGAACCTGAATAGATCAAGGGGAACATCCCATCCAAGTTAAGAGCACAGCTATCCTCAGATAGCTATGCTATGTGAGCAGAACTAGCCTGGATACACAAGACCACTGAGGAGGTGAACTAGAAAGCCTCTGGAGGAGCTCAAAAAATGCTACTTAAATCCCAGGTAAAGAGAGTAGCTGCTGAGCTAGAACACCGCTATCATCAGATAGCTATGTCCCTAAGGTCTTATGAAGGCTTGTAGACCCAAATAACATAGCCAAGATAGCCTTCCTATGGGGCTGCCCAGACCACAGCGAGTGGGCTATCTACTTACTACCCTAGCAGGGGAGATAGCACTGTCTAGGCAAGGGCTCAAAGATATTGCTACTTAAAGACCCTAAAAAAGGGAAGCAGACACTGAGCTAGCACACAGATATCCTCAGATAGCTATGCACCTAGGAAGGGCTACCAGTAGGGGGACTGACTGAAACTACCCAGACCACAAAGAGTGGGCTGTCTACTTACGACCCAAAAGGGGAGACAGCACTGTCCAGGTAAGGGCTCAAAAGACTGCTACTTAAAACCCTAAACAGGGGAACAATCACTGAGCGAGCACATAGCTATCCTCAGATAGCTGGGCTGTAGGAAAAAGGGACCACTCCATAAGAGGACTCCCCTCAACCGCAATGGAACACAGCTAGCCTCAGATAGCTGTATTCAGGTAAGCCCAACACGGGGAACTCCTGTTATAATCACTGAAGCTGCAAAATGAATCTCGTATTTAGCTACATCATATATACACTTGGTTGTTTATGATGAGAGAAGTCTCGAGCTCGCAGATTTCAGTCAGTGATCGGGTGCACTCAACAAAACTCAGGCGTTTTCAGCACTGAATAGATACACATCTGATTTTATTGAGCTTATTAAATTCATAAGCTCAACAGAAACGTGTGTAATTGTGTGTGTAAGCCTCAACGAGTAAAATACAATATGCTGCAACTGCGCAGATCTAAATGAATTTCAGCAAATTGACACTTTTCATTCATTTTCACATTTCATTTTAGTTTCGACACAGCTGTAATAGTTTTGGCATTTTTTTTGCCCCTTTATCTTGAATTTGTGAGACATTTTTTTCATTTTGGTGGCATTTTTGCCACAAGTCCCCGTTGATTTCCGAACCTGGTTCCAACACTCCTCTGTTTCCCGTAATGCTTCAGCTCCATCGATTGTATCTAGCCTATAGGTGTTTTCACGCCATGTCGTAATTACAAGATTGCAACTTGTAAAAAGCGTTCAAGTCGTCGTAGAACTCATAATTACAACTTGTAAACTGGGAACTTTCAGAGAGCTTCGACTTGCTACTACTACATGACCACTGCACTCTGTGTGGGCGTTGATAGTGTTGCCATGAAAACGCATACGTAGCCTGTTGTCATCTCACGGTATTACAACGTGGCGAGACCGGGTATGGTTGTAACCACTGTTCTCTGTTATAGATCAGTGGTTGTCACTCTTTTTGTTTCAGCATCTGTAACTCACTGAATTATTGAGCTAGACTTCTCAAACATTTATACAAAGTACCCACATTTGTTTACTACAAAAGGCACCTGTTCAATACACGGTGTGCCTTTGTTACAATCTACCCCACTGCTGGGGTAGGTGGTAACACATGCTGGGGTAAGTTGTAACAATTAGACAAAAGAAGCAAAAACTACTACCCCAAAAACAGGTTTATTGAAACAATCTAAAAGAACAATACAAAACAATGTCTCACTTTCCATGACTGACCACAGTTCAAATCTGCTTTCTGTTTGATGCAGGAGTGTGTGTAAATTGGACTACTAGATCAAACTTTCTAAACAGTATTTATGCTTAATGAACACTCAACTCCAGTGTACAGAGGTAAAGAACATGAGCGAACACAAAACTGTGCAAATTTGTGTGTGAGATTGTGTCTATGTATGAATGTTTTCAATCAGAGTCACAATGGTGACAAATCAATGTTTTTAACCCTAGAGTGCAGGCTTGGTGGACCCAGAAACTGCATAGGGCACATTTTACCCACACATCCTTTGGCTTTGAGCTGCCAAAAAAGCTCCATGTGGACAACATGAAAGTTCATGAAAGTTTAGCATCCCCAGTAAGGATGACCTGTCATCCAGTGTTTAGCTAGCAGTATAATGCTTTGAAATTAGCGGTTTAAAAATGCATCACATTTTGCCTGAGAATCTACAATTTATTCTTATGTAAATTATATGATTTTATTTGTTTACAGTTTAAGTACTAAATAAAATATAGTTTTGGTCAAAAAAATTTACATTCTTACCTCAAAATCAGTATTTTCTTTATAAAATCTGCATGTACCTATTTATACAGCCTTGACAACCATTAATATAAGATCAGGGAGGATTTGGGTAATCAATGAAATTATAATAGAACTATCTTATCCCTGATTGGAGGAATTAGTGTTGTTAAAACTCTCCCCATGTTACAACCTCCCCTAACCATTAAATATAATATGGAGACAATGTGAGCTGATTTTTAACTAACCTGAGTAATCTTTAACTGACCACCCAGGTAATCTTTTGTCTTCATAAAAATGTTCTGACCTCACAAAAAATATGTCAAGGTTAGTGGACAGTTGGGAGGTTGAAAGATTAATCAGTAAAAGTATTTTCATAATCCAGAGTCCAGATCTATTTTTATTTCCACCATCACTGGAGATATGCGGACTGGCCATCTGGACGTTCTGGAGAAGTCCAGAACGTCCGTCCACCCGATGGCTGTCGGCCTGCTGGTTCATCATCAAAGAAAAAGTGTCAGATTAAGTGATGTTGACGGCTGACAAAAGGGGGCGCTAATGCAATCTATTTTTGCTTATAAGAAACCGAAACTGATGCGAAAGAGTGGGCTCGTGAAGTCGTGATGGCAAGCAAAAGACGTGAAGATAAAGGCAGTTGGGAGAAGCTAAAAGGAAAAAACCGAACAGTTACATCAGGTTACCTTTGCTCGCCTCTCTCACTATACACAGCATGTAGGCTATAGCACTATAGTAAAATGACAGGACACCCCTAGTCCGAGCGTCCACTGCTATTTATCACTCTGCATTGTCTGGCATGAATATTCCATTAATTCATAAAGAGACAGCAGCGATTCTACAACGGGTTACATTTGAGAAATACTGAGTTAAGAGTAAATGAAATAGCCTATAAGGTGATTAGTCTGATTAACATCTCACACACACACACACACACACACACACACAGAGAGAGAGAGAGACATATGAATACTCAAATGGAAGAATTCTGTTGTTTCAGGTTTCTAGATTCTAGGTTTATGTTTATCATTGCCATATACATTTTGCATTCTGCTCTTTTTATGTAGATTTCAAGTATTTTAGTTCATACAATAATACATTTATTTCAATCTTCTGTTGAAAAAAAAATAGAAACTATCACATAATTTGTAATGGTTTTACTGGTTATAATGAAAATTGTATTGGTTTTAATGGAAACTGTAATGGCGCCTGTTGGTCTCTACTGGTAATTGGTCACCTTCTAATCATGGCTTTTGTTAAAGCCACTAAATCCTAATGTAATATGTCCAAAAACACACTACAGGAAACCATTATTTAATGCTTTTAATGGTTAAAAGTTGATGGTTTGTAATGTTTGTAATGGTATTTGTAGTGGAAATCATTAGAATTTCTGTGATGGTCTCTATTATTTTTGTCAGCAGGGTCACCATGGGTTTTGTGATGTTATTTGCCATAAATACGATAGGATTGCTGTAATATTGTGAGATAGTAGCTACTGTTTGTAGTTGTGGTGGGCCTATTTGGGATAAAATCCAGGGCCGTTTTTTTACTCCCAGTCCGTCCCTGGTTCTGAATAATACTCCAATAGTTTATGCGATATGTCAATGGCAAATAAAGACAGAAGCAATAAAGTACTTTTAAAAACTTTGGAAAGATAAAACAGGCCTTTAGTATTGTCACCAACCATGACCAATAGAACACATTTCATGATAAACTTGCATAAAAATGTCTGAGAAGCATATTACAAGTAACTAGGTGTAGTCCACACAGGCCATAAAAAATAAACAGAAATAGCGTCCACAGGAGCAACGTACAGGTGGCAGGTACTGGCACAGGACACAATGTCACACATGTCCATTTGAACGGTGCAACATTCAGACAATTCATTCTTCATCAGGCAGAAATAAATAAAAACATAATTTGAAATGTTCCAATGTTCAACTTTAAACAGTCAAGATATTGTGATATAATATTTGTAAACTGTAATTGATTTTACAGAAAAAAATGCTACAGTAAAAAACTGGCTAACTATACCATTTTGCAAGAAAAACTGTGAATTACCTATTTTAAATGGAATACAGTAAAAGGACATTCCCAGAAGTCCCTGTGTAACACACCATCACGTATGATTATTTTATTTAAATAGTTTGTTTATTCTAATTTTTGTTAGTAGTAATGTACATTATAGAATGTTTTGTGTTACACTTGTCTCTTAAGAACGTTTTATGTTCAGGCAATGAACTCTGATTCAACATGTGGATTTCTATTGTGCCACATTAATTAATATGGTAGATATCAGTACATTTTAAAGTTAAAAGCAGATATTGGTCATAACTTGGTATATTAACTTTATATCACTGCCTTTTTTTAAATAATAAATTTAACATGATATTTTTTTTTATGTGTATTTCTTATTTTAGCCTAAAGACCAATGAAAATTTGTGTAGATGTTTTTAAAAGTTCGACTTGAGCTTAAGATGGTAGTTGTGCAGTTACCCAGATATTGTTCAGGAGATATTTTGTGTCCTTGAATTTTATCAGAACAAAGTACAGAGTACACTGTATAGGCATCAAAGCAAATCTTGATTGTGGTCATAAACTTAGTGTGTGGACAGCAAATAAAACAAAGACATCATCAAACCATCTTCAGGTAACCAGTGAATGATAACATTTATTTTCCATGTTGTCATACTGTATAGTGTAATTCTAATTTAGTCATATACCAAGTCCATTGGATATCTATCTATCTATCTAGAGCAATCGCATTTTAGGTGCTGTCAGTCATCTTTCATATTTTCAACAAATATTTTAACATCCTCTGAGCATTTTGTGGGAATTGTGGTTGTTTCAGTTGATGCCTTTTCTTTTTTGGCTGGCTTTTTTTTTTTCTGGCCTAAAAACCCAATATAAACACACGTTTGCCTTTATAATTGACTACATTACTGTAACAAGAAATACACTGCTTATGTACCGTATGTTATTATTTAAAAGGACTGTTGTTTATTGTGATGCGTTACGTAATAGCTGTGTTCCTTCAGTCAGCCATTATATCCAAATCATGAGAGTGTTTCACAGCGTTATGATGTCTTGGTTAGGTGTGCTCAAGTGAGTCAAATAGTGTGTTGTAAAATGAGGTTGGAAAATAAGTAGAAATGTGAAATGATTCAAAGGAAATTAGTCTTTATCTTTATAAGTGTTTCATGATCTGTACATCACCTCTCTCACAGTGGACTTTGATACATGATTATGGCTTTCAGAATGTGTTTTAATATCTGAACCATATACTCTGGTCAGTAAACTGTTACACAAGCTGAGATGTGTTAGAAGCTACACCAGTACAGGACTCCGGTGTATTATTTTTCATGTGTTTGGACTCGTACTGGCATCATTCTGGGAAATGATTGGGATAAGCTACACGTCTTCATTCATTCTGATCCTGAGTCTTTCTCTCATTTCAGGTAGGGATAAAAATATACATGAAATATGAATTGTTGCATATGAAAATATAATAAGGAAGGATAAACATGTAAATAATGTATCAGAAGAATGAGGGATTACATTAGGACAATATCAACAATTTTAAAAATGTAGTCATATTTTAAAATGAATTTGCAATGTCAGACCTTTTCTACTGGGTCATAAATTGACCAGCTTGAATATGAAGCATTATACATTCTATAGAAATATAATTTAATTAAAAATATAATGTTGGTGTTTATTTGAGAAAACCAACTGAAAGGAACAAATATTTTGTTGATGTCATACCTTGATTCCTCCAGAAGCATCTGTGTAAGATTATGGCGGCCCTGAAAGTGTATTTAGCAAGAAATACAGCATGTCTGTCAAAAACAAATGTGTACCATATGCAAACTCTCAATAAAATGTAAGATGGCAATATGGGGAATTGAGAAAGTCGGTCAATGAACATTTATAGTTTTATGATTATTCTGTTTTTATAATCTGTATAAACCCTCTTCTAAAGGACTTCGCTACAGGAGAATGCAGGAATATTGTTTTTCCTTTTTTGAGGGAAAAGTTTAAGAGCTGACCAGATTTTTGAGGGAAAAGTTTAAGAGGTGACCAAGAGTTGAGACAGTTACACACCATCAAAAATGGTAATTTTGCAGGCACATAAAGTGACTATATGGCACTAAAGTTACACTGGCCAAATCTGAATGTTGGGGGGAAAAAAACACATCAACCTAGGCCTAACCAGTTGATAATGTATACACAACATGCATTGTTATATACAGTAGTACAGTGAATCTTTTTTTGTGTGAAAATCACATTTAGACTAACTGCATGTTTGCTTCATAACCAGACGGTGTCTTTATATAGAAAATAATGATTTGTGCATTATTTTATTTTGCCAGTTTAGACCTCATATCCCCCCCAAAACAACAACTGTTTCTTTATCCACAACAGATCCAGCTTTAACTTTTGCCCCAAGAGCAGACACATCTACAGAAGATGCTATAGTCCTACCTATAAATGATACTGGCAGTTCAACTACAGCAGGTAATTTAGATATTTAAATCACAACCGAATAAAACTAAATTCCAAGAAGCTGTTATATAAGAATAGGGAAATTTTTCATATTAAATATATATATATATATATATATATATATATGCCACTAACAATTACTTTTATAATAAAGTGACCAGTTGATCATTTCCTTGATTAAATAAGCAAACTGAAAAGCAATCTGCAATCTAAATAAGCAAAAAGCAATCTGATTTCCCAGATAAAATAAGCAAATTGAAATGAAGGCTATAAAACAAATAGCCTATGAATGTAGGCTATACATTTTGTGGGGGGAAACAAACAAAGTTACATTATAGGCTAACATTTATGTAACAAAAACCACTGTGGACAGATAAAACAGGTGGTTAACTGGCAATGTTTTATTTTTTAAAGGGGTCATATGATGCTGCTAAAAAGAACATTATTTGGTGTATTTGGTGTAATGAAAT